GGGGGGGGTCCTGAATGTTGCAGGATGTTTATAATCCCTAACTACCTACTAGATGGCAACAGTAAGTACCCCTCTCCAAGTTGTGACAACCAGATACATCTCCAATCACTGCCAAATGTCCCCTTGTGGGCAAAATCCCCACTGGGATATAGGAAAATGAGAGCTATTGAAAAGAAAAACACACACACACAAACACACTTTTCACCCTCACAATGACACTTACTCCTACAAATCAGCAAGAGTCCCTGAATGGGAGCAGCCTGCAGATCAGAGAGTGGTCAGTCCACACTGGTAGTGACCTCCAACCATACACAGGGACTTCCTCTTCACATAGGGGTTGTCCTGGAGATAGCAAGCTGACAAAAGATGGTCACATTTCTTCCTTCACCTTTCTCAGAATCCCAAAGCCAGTAACACTAGTGGACTTTGATTATTGACCTCTCTGCATTCTTTTTTTTTTTTTTCTTTCCGTGAGGGATTTTTGCTATAGGGCGCATGCATTCGCCAGAAAGACAGAGAGAGACAGAAATAGAAAGCAAGAAATCACCCCCCAGGGAGGATGGCCATGCCACAATCCCTTCTCCTTCATTCTCTTCCCAGGATCTTGGGCACGCCCGCACTCGTGCCCAGCATGAGTTTAAGCCACTGGATCTGGGACTTGAACTGCAGTTGACTACATAAGAGTCCAGTGACATAGCCATTATGCCAACTGCTAGTCCCTCTGCATTAGAAAGAAATGAGGTCATATTTGATGTCCTTGTTTTTTGACTAGAAACCAAAGTCAACCTTTGCAAATACAAGATCTTAACAAGGATAGTGATGCTTGGGGCTTTGGTATGTCCATGATTAGGTGAACGAAAATAGATAGGGACACAGCAGCCACCTCCTATCAACCTCAACACAATCACCTATTGTTTATCCTGAGAATCTTCCAAAAGCAGATGAAAGCATCCTGGTATATCTTTGGTCAGAATGACAAAGGGAAACAAATAATCAGACTATCAAAAGTTAGGCTACCTACTTAGCTGGCAAGTTGTGGGGCACAGGAATGGTACATATTGCCATTGAGGATACAGGACGAATGCAACACCTATGGAAGGGAATTAGGTAATCCTTGGCAAAGTCCCATAAACTGTAAACCATTTGATCAAGAACTCTCAATTCTAGGAAGCTATCCCAAGATACAAAATGACTTTTATGTGCAAGGTTGGTCATT